AGGCATCTAGGATTTTATTTAATTCTTCAATGTGGTCTTTTTTCTTGGAAATTTCAACCTTCAACTGCTCAATTTGAGCTCCAAGTATAACTTCCATCTCTGCTTTTCCAGCTTCGGTTTGTCTGACATTCTCCTCTAAGGATTGGCAGCGCAAATCCAATTCTTTTAGGGTATTCTCCAAATAAGATCGTTCCTTTGACATTATATTTAAATCTGATTGAAGTTGCTTATTTTCTTCAGATAAGCTCTTACTGGCATTTGAAATTGCTTCATTCAATCCCCGGATTTCTAGATCTCTGTCAGCAAGATTGGATTTGTAGCTCTCTATTCGATCCTGCAGCTTTGAAACCTCACTTTTTTCATTCTCAAGTTTAAGTATCCAGATGGAAATCTCCTTTTGAGCCGATTTAAGCTGATCTTGAAAATGTGGAGTAGACGACCCATTGCTCTCAAGTTCATCCCTTAAGCTTCCAACTTCCTTTTCCGACTCATGCAGCTTCTCTTGCGTAATTTTTAGCTCTTCCTTGAGCGTCTGAATTTTGTTCACTGGGTCAAAAACATCAGCTTTTGATCCATCGGTGCTTTCTTGAAGCTCTCTAACCTGATTTTGCTCCACTTCAGCATCTTTAAGAGCTTTATACTTCTGAAGCTCAATCAACAAACGACTATTTTCCTCTTCAAATAGCTGAATCTTATCCTTTGCAATCCTCAAATCTTCTTCATATGCCACTACTTGAGAAAGAGCTTCAGAATTTCCATTGGCGGATTTCACAAACGAGCCTTCAGAAATTTCTTTCTGTTGCATCTCGAGTCTTTCTTTCACATCCGAAAGCTCAGTCTCCAATTCAGTAATCCTCTGATGCAACTCATGTTCCTCATCATTGCTCTGTGTGCCTGAGTAATTGTTACCAGAAGAATCATCTGAGTTGGATTCGGAATCAGATGTAGAAGAATAGTCTCCTTTATTTAAATCTGAGCCACTTCTACCAGAACCAAGAAAGCGAGCACCGGATTCAGGACGACTCGGCTTTCGATCAGGAGATGGCAAAGAGGAAGGTGGTTCAGATCCCACATCAGATATTCCAGATTCCTGAGAATGGAGTTCAGATGGAATACTTTTCCGAAGTTCTCCAGTGACAAGGTCATAACGCTCGGCTAGTGCCCGATACATTCGATAAAACTCTTCAACAAGATTTATCAACTCTGGTCTCTTCTGATAATAAATTTCAGCCCTTCTAGCAAATGAATCCGCGTCCTCTTCTATGAGTTTTAGCATCAGTCTGACTTTCTGGTCCATTTCTGCGATCAATAAACTTTTCCTCAATTTTTCGGATTGACATATATCGTTCAAATTATGAAATGCTAGAATTCTAACAATAACTAAAAGAATATATAAACTGAACATAAGAAGATGAAATTTAACATTTTATCTTTACAATTTAGAGTTATTAGAACGATTTAAATCAATGAAGCCATTTACAACATTGAAATTGTCTAGTTAATCAGTAGATAGTCAGATGCATTATCTTTCGACTCCTGATGCTAAAAAAAGGGAAAAAAGCAAAAAAAAAAAAAAAAAGGTCAAACTGAAAACTTATGTTTGTGATTTTAAAACTCTATTTAACATAATTTCATGATTTCTACGTCAATGATATATTTATACCTTCAAGATTATCTTGTAGCCACTTAGAGTTTTTGGGACGAATGTGGCTATTCCACCACCACGAGTGCGACTTTTTTGATTCCATCCTCTTCATCTTATTTGACTTAACCTGAAAGGAAAGAACTGTGATCACGTTGTAAAGAGGAAAATATCACAACAAAACAACAAAAACCAAGCTTCCAACAAACGAAATATCTAGAAGAAGATCTGGAGAAACTAACTCTAAGCAACTACCACAGCCACATCAATTGTATATTCCTAGTCAAACCCTTATTAACATGACAGCCTCAAAAACCAAGCTTCCAACAAACAAAACCCATGTAGGATAATTACATATGATTGCTTTAAAAGGAAATATATACAGCGAGCGGTTTCTTACCAGTGTTGATGCCATTATACGTTTAACACCTCCTTCAGAAAGAAAGAAAGTCGACTACCTGCAAATTATATCTATATATGAGTGTAGACATGCATATCTAACATGTAATTCATCCAAAAAATGCATAAAACTGATTTGGATTTCATCTACAGCTTACAACTTTTCATCACAAACATGTACTGATTAATATTCATAATCATGGTAAAACGTATTTCGTGAATCTACAATATATAAATCATCAGTCAAGAAAACATACACCATGCTAGTGTTGACAAGATTTTCATTTCTAACTATAGTATATATCAAACTTAAAATAGAAGAAAATAGCTTCATTTAGCCAAATGGTTAGAAATTAGGTAGACAACCATGGTTACATGTAATTCATGACAAAAGGGACAGAAAATGACATGTTCCATGGCTGCGTATTAAATAAAGGCAATAAAAAGAGTGAGTTGATCAACTAGATCAAACAGGGATTGCAAACAGGTGTTTTGACAGGTGTTGAGTTGTTCGCACCTGTGTGGGTAATTTTATTTTTTTTTTTCCAAGCTTTCCAATGATGCTACGCCACGTTTTATTCTATTTTTTAACCCAACCATTGAGTCTATTTGGGTAGCATGATTGCATTAGATTATTGGGATGGAACCGCAACAAATGAACGGGCTAGGATTAGCCTGGTCCGACAGAATAATGAAAATACATAAATGTTGAACTACCTTTTCTATAAACTATAATTCATGAAAATTGTACACTTATTTAAGGCTTTTGATGTTAACATATAATCGACTTGCACGCATTGAAACTATAATTTAAATGAAAAAATGGTCTCATCTCTAAAGATCTTGAGGTTCTAGACAATGTAGTTTGATTCAGCTATTGGACAGCCAGCATACTCGAGTCTTGAACTTTGATTGAATCATTTAAAAAAAAAAAAAAAAGGACCACTTTTCGTCAATATTAAACTACTGGAAGCAAATTGATGTGCTTTCATACATTATTATATGGTTTATGAGCATGCAAAAAGTCATAAAACTTAAGGATTTTCATGGAATTAATAAAATAAAATAACGTTATTTTTAGAAATTCATTGGTACCAAAAAAAATAAAAATTATTTAAGAAGAAATGAAAGCATAAAACTAAAAGTACAGAATTTCAACAAATAAGTTACAATCATTAAATTCACATCAAGAAACAAAAAATAAATATAATTCTCAAGAAAACATGACATTAATCTGAAACTTCATGACCACACATGTAAAGCTCCCATTTCAAATAACGAAGAAAAAAACTGATAAAACCTGGAAACATAGAAAATTGAAGAAAAGCTCACCCTTTTTCTTTTTCTTTTTCTTTTTTCTTTCTTTCTTTCTTTCTTTTTTTCTTTCTTTCTTTTTTTGCTTGAAAATTCAAGTGAATAGGGACACTGGACGCAAGTAAGGGAAGGCCAAAGAAGAGTTGTGAATCTCTTGCGAGAGAGACAAAAAGGTTGAGAGATTCTTTCATAGTGGAGGGCTTTATATTATCAGCTCTAGAGAGTGGAGCCCCCAGGGCATATCTCCCAGTGGTAAAGGGTGGGCGGATAGGGCTCAGTGCGACAGTGTGCAGAGTTCGATTCCCCGCAAGGTGGAATTGACTTTGTTGCAAGCGGGAGTTACCATATGGATTAACAGTCTTGACCTATCCATGTGCTCTCCACTCTTGCTCCTGGGAGACACATCCTGCGATTTACCTCCTCCACGATGGCTCAGGGCAAGATCCGTGGAGGCCCTTAAGGTTGGGGTTCAACCTTTAGCTCTAGAGAGTAGAAGGGGGTTGGAAGGGATGCGGGCGAATAAAATACAATATCTGAAATTTGTTCACATGGGGGATGATGGGATTGTTGAAGACTAATCATTATTTTATTATTTCTGTATTCGAAAAACGATAGAGAAATAATAAATAAAGGCTATCCGAGCATTAAACGAGTAAGAGGATCAACTAACAAGTAAATACGAGTTATGGCGTCCACGAGGACAAAGAGCTTCTACAATGGTTCTATATGTACACGCGATATAATTAGTCCTTGTTTGTTGTTCATTATTTGAAAAGTTGAAGGTTTTAAATAGTATTTTTTGAAGAATGTATGATTAAAAAGTAAAGAAATTTTATTGTGTAAATATGTGGTAGAGAATTCGAGATGTCCGATTTAAATGGTTCGAGGTTCGAGGTGCCCCGTTTGGCTCCCATTATTTGAAGTTATAACTTTTTGAATTTTTTTTTTTGAAAAATCTGAGGTTAAAAAATAAGGAAAAACTTTCGATTTATGTGTAATATTGTTTTATGAAAAATTTTACGATTAAAAATAAGAGAGAAGAATAAATTTTTGGGATAATGGGGTCAAACGGGGGCTAAATTCAATGATAAATTTTATTGCGTGTACATATAAGACACCTTTATTTAAGTTTTTCTCGTCCACAAGAGCAAGAATATGTAGATCGATAGTATAAAATTTAGAGTTCGTTTGATATGATTTTTGTTTTTATTTTTACTTCATATAGAATGTTTTCTAAAAAAACTACTTTAATTTTTGTTTAAAAATTAATTTTTCGAAAAACTTCCTATTCTGAAAGTGCTTCTAGAAGAAGTCACACGGTCCAACAGTCGTTGACAGATTTTTGCTCCATTACGGTTTGTCCATGTGAACACATCTTTTTATATTTGATCGGAAATATTTTATGTACGTTTTCCATCGTTTTAATTAATGCACATGGAATTATTAATAATATAAATCAGGCAAAGTCGTATATGAATTAAAACGTGATCGACAATACATTTTCTTTCTTTTAGTTTTCTTGATTGTGGGAAGAAGTGGGAATATTATATTGCCAAGCAATAATTTGAGGCTTCTGAGATATGAAATGCATATATAATTATTAATGATAGGACGAACTGGATCTACAAAGATGGTTCACCAAGTAGTGTAAAAATGGGAATGCATTCCAGCTTTGAAATTAAATAAGACATAAATCAGCTTAGTCTCTCTGGGGTGATTCATGGATTGATCCGATCGTACCAGGATGGATTGTTTAGTCTAGTGACCAAGAGGACCAGCTCGGTTCGACTCATTAGGAAAAATGTACAATTACTAATAAATTCTACAAGAAAAGTTTTTTTTTTTTTTTTTTTTTTT